TTGTTGTTCAACTTATTTATTCATTCATTGGTTGATTCATTGGTGTGCCCTGACCAGGAGATTGAACCCACCACCTTAGCATTTAGGGCTAATGCTCTAACCAAATGAGCTACCTGGCTGGGCCATTTGTTTATTTTTTCATATGATTTTAGTTATATGTAGAATCTAATGAACAAAATAAAGTAACTAACAAAATAGAAACAGACCCATAAATACAGAGAACAGACTGACAGCTGTCAGACGGGAGGCGGAGGAGGGCTGGGTGAAAAAAGTGAGAGGATTAAGCAAAAAAAAGCCCTCATAGACAGACTACTGTATGGTGATTACTGGAGGGAAAGGGGGTAAGGGGAAGTAGAAGGAGGGTAAAGGGGGAATAAACGGTGATAGAAGATGTGGCTTGGGGTAGTAAACACACAATACAATATATAGATGATGTATTCTAGAATTGTACACCTGAAACCTATATAATTTTATTAATTAGTATCACTCCAATAAGCTCAATATTTTTTAAAGATTTTATTTATTTATTTTTAGAGAGGGAAGGGAAGGAGAAAGAGAGAGAGAGAGAAACATCAATGTGCAGTTGCTGGGGGCCATGGCCAGCAACCCAGGCATGTGCCCTGACTGGGAATCGAACCTGCGATGCTTTAGTTCGCAGCCCATGCTCAGTCCACTGAGCTATGCCAGCCAGGGCTCAATAATTTTTTTTAAATTGACATTTCTCCTCTTTTGACCTACAAAAATGACCATTTAATATTGTTTTAAGTAATATGGATGTCTGGACTACATCCACCAAGGTTTTGGTTCAATAGACCTAAAGCATATTTTTTAGAAGCTTCCTGGGAGATTCTACCTCTGTTTGAGAACTGCGAAACCTGTTCATCTCTCACCTTCCTTCCCCTAAAGGCCTGTGTGTTTTCTAATTTACTGTTCACAATAACTGCATGTTAGTGTGCGGCCACTAGGTGGGGGTAATGTGCCACAGTCACACTGAGGATATACTACCTTGAAATTCATCATGGTGGCTCTCTGCTCAAGCCCAACCTGTTTATAATGGCACATATCCATGTATTTTGACATCTGTAGAAAGTGAGCTTTTAAGAAAGTTCTTTTAGAAATAAAACTCCAAAATTAATGTGCTTAATTTCTTTTCAAACTAAGTCACAGCATCGGCACTTTCTCTGTTCTTTCTACATACCTCATCAGTTCCACCCAAGACTCCATGCACTGGCCTCAGACTCCCCAACCTCTAGCACTGGTGTCTCAGCTCACTCATTGTGCAGTGAGACCCTCTCCAGGACTGCTCCCCAGTCAGTCAGGATCCTGCTTCTGCATTTATGGGCATACATCTACATTTAGGTAGGAAGCTACCTACTATACTTTCTACTTTTCTTCCTCTTCCTTCTCACTCTTCTAATCTTTCTCCCTCTTATGTGTTCATTAGCTTTAAATATCTTATTAGTTTAACTTCCTAAAGCCTTAAACCTCTGAGAAGCCCCAAGGCATGCTGAAAAGGAGAGCTGAGGAGGTAGGGAGGAAGACCAAGCCCTCATTCTGTCTGATGGGCAAAGCTCAGTAGTTATCTGTGTCACAGAGGTTAATGCTCTCTCTCCCTTCAGGGCTCTCGCTTTATAACCCCACTTGACCCCTCCTGTCTAGTATCTGATAGCTCTCCTTGTGGCCCTGACTGTTGACTTAGTCCAAAAGAAAGACCTCTTCTCTGGTTTTTAGCTCTGCTACTCTAGGCCCTTGCTCAGCTGACTCAGTGAAGAATAAATGGTGCTGTGATGAGCAAGGTGTCTATTTGCTTGCTTGCTGTTTCCAAACCTTTCATCATCATCATCATCATCATCATCATCATCATTATTATCAGGCCCCCTAAAACTCTAAGGTTCCATCATAGCAGAGCAAACTGGTGATTATATATGGCTTCTCTGCTAACATTCTGGAACTTTATTAGTGGTGGTCTATATTAACTTGAGTTTAATATGTGGGAATTAAAAAGTAGCATCCTTTTTGTTAACAGCTCCATCGTTATTCAAGAGCTGTATCTAGTTCTAGATTTCAGATTTATGAAGGAGGTGGAGAAACTGGAGGTGACCCTGAGGAGAAACACTAACCATGGGAAAGAACCTGGAAAGAAAGGTGGCAGAGACTCTGATTGGGTGTACGGACTAAACATTGTATGATAGCCTGGCAGCCCCCAACTACTGTTTCCATTTGAAGGAAAAAAAGAGATCACTCAGAACTCTCTATTTTCGATCATCATAAAACAAAATGAAATGGGCTCATTGTATAGCGAGCAAAATTCAGCCTCAACTAAAAGGAAAAGCAAATAATTCCTGACCCTAGATGTTTGCAGTGATAGATTCAGACACAAAGGGGCTGAACAGTGGTATGATCTCAAGAAAAAAAAAGGAATACCTTTTAGCTTAGACACAGATTATGTGTCTCCGACTTAACTGACTACTTAGACAGCTGGCCTCTTGGTGTCTCTTTCTAAGGATTATCTGCCTCTGTAACCATTTATATTTTCTTGAATTCTCACCATCAAGCCCCAAAGAAAGCTTTCCTTCTTCTCACTTCCTCTTCACAGAAGAAAAAAAAAAGTAACCCCACAGTTTAGATATTTTGAGAAAAGAGAAATTGTTTCACAGAAGAAGCCAGACTTGATATAAGGGAGATTGAAAACACTCTCTGAGTACTTTCAGTAGAAAGACTCTCTGAGACCTTGGGCCCCAAACCTTGCCCACATTGTTGAGGTTAGTGAGCAGCGTGGCAGAGATCAGAGAGGGGGTGAGGTGTCTGTTCCCTGCTCTCTCCCAGGTTGGCTTCCAAAAGGAAAGAACTGGGAACCGAGGTCACGTCATATCCATCGACAAAATTACATAGTCCCCCAGCCATCACAAAAGAAAGCAGATGTACTAGACTCTTTTCACAAATGTTGGATATTTAGCATCTTTCTACATTGTTTTATATTACAGATCCTTGTAGGTAAATCTTTGCATCATTCTTAATATTCCTTTAGAATGTATTGCCTAAAAGAGTAATTCCTGGTTCAAGAGATAGATAGTTTTTAAGGATTTTGATACAACTGCTAAGTTGCCTCCAGAAAAATCTTCAGGTGAGAAAGTATACCCTTAGCAGTTTGCCCCCCACTCTGCCAGCTCTTCAGGATTGTACGTCTCCCCTCTCCACTAGTGTACCGTAGGTTGGCGTCATCTATCCTAATCTTTAAAGATTGAAAGATGTTAATATTCTTTTGTGCACTTTGTGGCTATGCTTCATAGAAATAACTCTGGTTACCTTTGCTCTCTTCGGAGTACTGAGAGATAGCTCATCCATAAAAAGATAACCAAAAACCATCCATATGTTTGGATATTAAGAAATATGCTTCTAACATATGGATTAAAGAAGAACTCTATTGAAAATTGGAGCATGTTTTCCTTTGAATGATAATGAAAATACTACATGGCAAAATTGGTGGGTTACTACTAAAGCATAACTAAAAGGAAAGCTTGCAGCTTTAAGAATAAACACTGAAGCCCTGGATGGTGTGACTTAGTTGGTTGGAGCATCGTCCTGTAAACCAAAAGGTGGCAGGTTCAATTTTCAATTCCTGGTCAGGGCACATACCCAGGTTGCAGGTTCAGTCCCCAGTGGGACATGTACAAGAAGGCAACCAGTCAGTGTTTCTCTCTTACACTGATGTTTCTCTCTCTCTCTCTCCCTCCCTCTCTCTCTCTCTCTCCCTCTCTCTCTCTCCCTCCCTCCCTCTCTCTGTCTCTCTCTCCCCCCCTCTCTTTCTCTCCCTCTCTCTCTAAAGGCAATAAAAATAAAAATAAAACAAATACTCTGGTAAGAATAAAAAAAATTTTAAAGGAAGAAATAATAAACACTGAAAATTAATGAGCAAGTAAGGATCCAACTCAAGAAGTTAGCAAAAATGAGTGAAAGAAGAATGAAATCCTTAAAGTCAACAGTTCCCTTTGCATCTTTGGTCTATATATACACATATATGTATATTTATTACCTGTGCATCTTTGTACACCCTCTCATCTCCAAAACAGTGCTTAACAGATCATTGTAACTGGATGAACATCAAATTGGATTTGTTAAATCGTAAGGGTCATGCCCTAACCAGTGTGGCTCAGTTGGTAGTGCCTCGTCCTGCAAAGTGAAAGGTCACCAGTTTGATTCCCAGTCAGACCACATGCCTCAGGTGTGGGTTCAGTCCTGAATCAGGCATGTACAAGAGGAAAACAATCAATGTTTCCCTCTCACATCGATGTTTCTCTCCCTCTCTTTTTCCTTTCCTTCCCCTCTCTCTAAAAATAAATAAATACAATCTTTTAAAAAGAAATTGTAATGGTCATGACACTAAACACGTGGTATTTTCAGATTGTTAGGGTTGAAAATTCCCAATTTGATTGATTTGCCAGAGTAGTCCATACAAGTGTCATTAAACTTTTTGTGGGTGCCAGATTCTGACATGGGGAAGGCAAGACGCCTGAAGGATTATGCACTTGAGTGGGTTAGTAGCCATTACCACCATGCACAAGGATTGCAGCCACTCTGGAGCATGGTAAGGATGAATTTCCTTATCTCCGGACACCCAGAGAAGTAGGTTGTATTTATTCTACTAAAAGTGTTTTGGAAATAAAGGTTAAATATTATGTGTACTTGTACTCTTCCATCAACACCTTGCTTTTGATCATCAGAAGCCAAGAACAGGGCCTGACCCCGTGCCTTTTCCATAGGCTGCCGTCTGGTGCAGTTCAAGTTCTGCACGTGTGCAGGACAGAGGACTGGGCTCTGGGGGTCAGTTTTACTCAGGGAAAAGAGGTGACTTTAATTTCATTAATGGTCTCCTAGATGATTCTGCTACAAGTTTAATCCCCATTAAACATTCATGCCACTCAGTTCTTATTATACTGTCTTTAGCATCATACAGCTCAAACTGACACTAACCTGTTTTATGTCTCATAACTGAATCACAGGGCTTTTTCAGGAGAAGTCAGCAAAGCAATGCCACCTACTCCTGTCCTCGTCAGAAGAACTGTTTGATTGATCGAACCAGTAGAAACCGCTGCCAACACTGTCGATTACAGAAATGCCTTGCCGTAGGGATGTCTCGAGATGGTGAGCACTCACAGCTGGAGTTGTATGGTGCATGGGGTTATCAAAGAGCTTCCTGAAACCTGGACCCACATCTACCAAAATAGGTCCTCCCTCCCCTGCCGGCTCTGTGGGTTTCGGAGCAGTTACTTCCTCCTCCATACTCCATGGGAGCCACCAGCTGCCTGGCTGGTGAGGGGCGCATGGGAGAGAAGTATCTGTGTGGTCAGAACACCTTCAGATTTTTGATGTTTACCACATGACAGGTGGATCAGTCGATTGGAGGTTAGTGTCCTCTGAGGGCCTTAATAAATGTACCTCCCATAGTCATTCCCCCAGAAGGAAACACAAGTGAAAGCTAATTATTGCATACTTTACACTAGTGAGCTTAGTGGCAGTTGGGTTCAATTAGCTTTTATGCTAAATGGATACTTTGAATCATAATGCCAAAGTCAAATATTTGCACACCGAGAATATATAAAAATAGTGCAAAATGTGGCTCAATGACAAATATTCTTTTTGTTAAAAGAAGCTATTTTAAGAAATAAAGACCACCTACCATTCAACTGCAGAACATTTCAAGATCTTCCTGGAAAACCAGCAGAAGCGCACTGAATAATCAACACCAGATTTCAAGACAGTGATTCTTATATAAGGAAACTGTGCAGAAAGTACAGCGAGTACATTTTAAAGACTTTTCCAAATATACTAGCTGGCTCTCTTAAGAGATCCCTTTGAAGGAAACATCTCTTCCTATAGAGTTTCAGCTTATGGAAAAATACTTGAGGATGCTGGGCTGGCATTCTGAAGGCCAGTCTTACCCATAATCAGATGTTCTTGAGGCCTGAGGACTTGCCCAGACACAAGTTGCAGTGACCTTCAATAGTGGGGCACAGGGTGGCCTCTTGTACAATATGTAGGAACAAAAGTGGGGTTTTTACGATTGGAACATGCAAGTCACAGAACTTACACCGTATTCTCAGAAATTCCTGTGATATGCAACTCGGCAGATTCTACCTGCCAGTGGCCCTGCACCCACCAAGCTGGGTTCATTTCTTATGAACTTAAACGTTAAAGTCACAAGTCGTGTCTGCATTTTCCCAGTAGCTGGTCTTTTCATTTCCCTTACAGGATGGTGTGATTACTGTGGTTAATATTCATGCAAGCGTTCAAGGCAATTCAGAGTCACAGCAGAACAGGTTTCTCCTCTGAATATTAATCCCCTTGAGTGTTCTAGAACATAGACTCTGTCACAAAAAACTAAAGCGCCTTCCGTATATCTCCTGAAGGTTTTGTAGAGAAGTGACACTACACATTGTTGAGGGCTCAGAGTGAATTTGGGGGCTTATAAAAAAGTGGCCTGAAATTCAGAGCCACGTCAGCCTAACTGCCGTCTAACTAGCCTCACCCAAGTGTGTTCCTTCCTTCCCGGAACCTGAAAATTGGCAGTCTCAAGCTCACTTGTTTCCTCTCTGCAAAAGGACAGTAGGTCCTCCTCGGCAGAAAAACAGCATCCACCAGCTGGTAGTGTGGGTTCCCGAAGTCCTGTCCATCTATCCTGACTTCTTCCTGTAGACTCGCAGAGTCATGATGATAGTCAGATGGGTGAATTCATCCTCCCCATCAGGTATAAGTTTAACTACAATCAATTGGAGCATCTTAGTCCCTCCAGCAGAGGCTTCATCTGCACAGACAGGGTCAAGCTGAAAAATAAATGGGTTCATGGGAGAGTTCAGACCAGGACATCACAAGGGTTTTTTTTTCCCTCAAGTAGGTGGGTGTTTCAAGAGAAATCATTTGGGATTCTGAATGAACTGAGAAGTTACTACAGTCATTGTTCCACTTTAAATACGGGATATCGCAAGGAGAAATGTTGCAAACACAAATTCGTCCAACAGAGAGGGATCTTAGACAGTGTTCGCCCTTTCCAGAATTCCGACACTCTTGTTACTTGAGGCAAAATAAGAAGAGTAGAAAATGTCACTTGGAGATGGGTCTAAGGGCTTTACAGGGGCCACCATGACCCAGCATAGGGGAGGGGGCTTCTCGGATAGACTCGGAGATATAATTCAGGGAACTGCAAAGGCCTCATCCAGTTTGTTTAGGTCTCTCAACGAAGCCCCAGCTTCCACTGTTGGGAAGAAACTCATTTGAGCGTACAGGATAGAGGAATGGATAAAAACTGAGGTTTGACTGCTTGTGCTTCGATGTATCTCTGTGAGTCTGTGCACTGGGAAGGGAAAGAAAGGGTCCAGCCCGGCTGCATGGGTGGACAGTGAACACCCCCATCCAGCCACCTTCCAGTGGCTCCCACTGAGTGCAGGGTCACATAACAGCAGGAGACCATAGGTGGCCATTTCTCAGGTCTCCTCTGCCCATCCTCAGTTCCTCTGGGATGTGTCTTGCTGTTGTGGGCGTGGGGTGGAACTGTGTTCACCTCTGGATCATACTCTTATTTTGCGGTGATGTGGTTTTTGGATGAGATTGTCTGAGACTTCAAAGGAACCCCTAAAGCATGCCAGAGAGGATAATGAAGAAAAGCCTATTATATATGGTGTGGTTTGGCGTTTTTCTTCCAGCTGTAAAATTTGGCCGAATGTCGAAAAAGCAAAGAGACAGCTTGTATGCGGAAGTGCAGAAACACCGGATGCAGCAGCAGCAGCGAGACCACCAGCAGCAGCCTGGAGAGGCCGAGCCACTGACTCCCACCTACAACATCTCGGCCAACGGGCTGACGGAACTGCACGACGACCTCAGCAACTACATCGACGGGCACACCCCCGAGGGGAGCAAGGCAGACTCTGCCGTCAGCAGCTTCTACCTGGACATACAGCCTTCCCCGGACCAGTCAGGTCTCGATATCAATGGAATCAAACCAGAACCAATATGTGACTACACACCAGCATCAGGCTTCTTTCCCTACTGTTCTTTCACCAATGGAGAGACGTCCCCAACTGTGTCCATGGCAGAACTAGGTAATGGCTTCCATGTTTCTATTGGGATGCGCTGCATATGCACGTGGAAGTAAATGGGATGTGTTTGACTTTCCCCTAAGGAGTTATGTTATTAAAATGATGCAGCTAGAAGGGAAACTCACCGTTGCCATTTGGACCCCTTTGGAATACCACCCTCCCTGCCGCCTTGCTTTTAACTGTCCACTGTTTCCCGTGGACATGCAGGGAAAACGTTGACCTGTCGCCATCAAAGATGGGTCAGCATGAATTAAAGCAGTCTTAAAATGCTGCAGAAAACTGTTATGCTCAGAATATGGCTCCTTTTACTTGGTTAGTTGTTCACTTACTTATATTCCAGGTATTGCTCTTTGACCTGTGCTGAGTTTTAAACTTTTGAATCTGTTGCCAAAATTTAAAACCTGGACAATCTCACACAAAAAATGTCAGGTTGTCAGCTTCTTTTGGGAGGGAAAAAATGATCTAGATATAGGGGGCCAGCAGGAACTAGGTGGCCCCAGTGAGGAGCTAACACCTTTGGAGCACCCCTCCCCACCCCCACTGTCCCACTGTCCCTGTGTGTGTGACTGCCCAGCCCCTGCAGACAGGTAAGTTCTGCAACCCTGATGCATTGTCCTGTAGGCACCAAAGGGAAACTGGCTTCTTTATTTGCCGGAATGTTTTGGTGATGGATATTGGTAACAAAACTGATATATTTCATAGAAGACATACCATACCAAAAAAACAAAAAACAAAAACACCCTGAAAAAACAAAACCTTGTCATTTCCTTATTCCTGTGACATCATTTTTGCTTCTTCAGTGATGTGACCTAGAAATGTTGATAACACAGACAATGAAAAGTCCTCCCATTTCAAGGAAGTTGTGACAGCATTCTCCGTTATATTTAATAGATTTTTAAGTACAGCACTATTGTTAGAGAAACTTTGATAAGAACCTTTGCAGTTTTAGAATTTGATCTGTTCCTCCCCATGACCCCTTGCACAAGGTTATAATCCTCTGGGATATTTCAATTAGTTGCTGTGGAGATTACTAAATTAATGCGAGGAGAGAATGAAGACTTCAGATGGAAAAGAACCAGCAGGTTCTGACTTGAGCACAGAACTCCTCAGTTCACAGAAGAAAAAAAAATGGTTGTGTTCTTCAGATGGTTTCTCCACCTCTGTACCCCATAAAACATTTTTAAGTGAAATTTATATTTCCAGTAAAATCTTTCTCCAAATAGAACAAATTGAATGTTCTTTACGGTTTTTACACAAGCACCTCTTTATGGGTCTAAATTTAAATCCTCAAGAGCAGGGACATTTTAAGCCTGGTCTTTAACCACTGAACAGCATTAAAGGTGTATCACAGCTCTTTTGATTAACAGAAAAACCTCTGAACTAGATGCCAAGCTGAGCAGAGGTAGGTTTGATTTTATTTTTCTTGAACTAGAACAAAACCTTCCATTTTTGTCATGAAATCTTGGTTGGCTGAGCCTTAAGCAGAACTATAATGAAAGTAAAATTTTCAGAAATGAATAAGGATTTGATCGAAAGTTGACATGATATCATGAAAAAAGACCTGGTTCTCTTTACCTTAGGTCTGCTTCCACCTAAATACTGGTGAATCTATTCTGTTTGCTTGTCAAATGTCCAATCCTGAAATAAATCCACAAGGCTTAGCCAAAGTGTCACCCTTGAATGTGGCACTCCAGCTACATGTGTAGTGACACCCGAGTGGGGCCAGAAGTGGCGAAGCTGACTCCCCCAGCTCCCTGTCCCCCACAGGTCAGTTCCTCTCCTGTGCTGGCCACCCGTCAGTGCAGTCTGGGAGCCCTGTGCCTTCCTGCTTTCTCCATGTTCTCCTAAACTAGGGAATTTTTACGTGTGTTCTGGCATTTTCCAGAATGAATAAAATTAACTTGACAGGAGAATTAGTCCCAAACCCAAAACTTAAAGAGGAATTTATCTGAAAAGGATGTAACTGGGCTCTAATTTCCTATCTCATTTATATGGGCAAAATAGTTTGAAGAGCTAAGAGTAGCCTAAAGGTGGCCAACCCTTACTGTTTCTTCTTCAAAGCTGTGTGTCCTTTGGGGCTTAAGTCCTGCTACCTGTTTAACTAAGACTCTTGACTTTATTTTAGGCTAAATTTTGTCATTAGATCTTAAACAAATTAAAACAATTATCCGATGGAAAAATAAATTGTAAATTAACACATCTGAAGCCCAATTCTATCATTCAAGAATAGTATCCACAATCCATTACTTTTAGTGGGACTATGTCTGCATTCGTGGCTAGGAAATGCAGTCCTTGACGTACAATTAACACCTGAATTATACATTCCAGATAAGCCATCTGAGTTCATTTTAAAAAAACTAACTGCACTTGTTATGTAATCAATAATTAAATTCTGTGCAGAGAGACAATGACATAACAGGCAAAGCCTGAGACAAGAAGTCAGCTTATCTGCGTTGTGGTCCTAGCTTCACTATGGGTGATACAGCCCAGTATAAGTCATGTAACCTCTGCAAGCTACCGTCTCCCTACCTACTGAGTATAAAGATTAGGAGCATAGACTCTGGAGCCAATTGTGTATGTTTAAATAATTGGCCACTTGCCAGCTGTGACACCTTGGAAAAGTCACTTAACCTCTGTAAAATGGAGATAATACTAGTACCTTCCTCCAAGGGTTGTTACAAAGGTTAAGTAAGAAAAGGAAAGAAAAAACTGTATATATATATATATTCTGAATATATATTATATGAGCCTGGCACACAGTAAATGCTATTAAATGTTAACTACTATCATCACTATTAATGTTGTTATCTGTAAACTGAAGAGAGTTTGGACCAGATTATGTCTACAGGTCCTTCCTATTGTGGAAATTGATGAAGCAGCCGTGGGTGAAAAGTGAACTGATTTGCCTGTCCCAAAGGGTCACCTATCCACTGAACTCTGACCAGAAACCAGGTCTCCTAACTCCTGGTTCCGAGGTATTTATTCCAGGCTGCTTCTCTGAGAGACCGTGCTAACTTGTTGACTTTTACTCAGTCTGGCCATTTTCTCCTTTGCTGAAGTAGCAATTTAAAAACAGCCAAGTGTCTAAGGTCTTACACTTGCTAAATCAACCTGTGAATTGGGAGTCAAAGGCAGTTGATGAGTAGTTGGCAAGAATGCAGCCACTGCCCTCTACTGGTTAGTCACGTACATTGTGTCGTTCATTGCCACTTCTAAAAGCTGAACCAAAACAGGGAGGGAGGGGTGAGTGCGAACAATTTTTAGGATGAAGTGAAATGACAACATGTTGACCATATTAACCGGAAAAGAATCATAATCTGGCAGAGAATGCTGCATCCTTTTCCCTCCCTTCACCTCATAGGATCCCCCTGTTTCTCTGCAAATACTGCATCATTTTTTTCATATCTGCAAAACTTGGTCTACATTCTAGAATCTGTCTTCCATAGAGAGCACTCTTTCTGCTGGAGATAGCTCACTAATTTACTTACACACTTATTCTTTGTTTCTGACTCCCCATTGTTTTTGTCTTGGTTCTCTTCTTCACAAGAGCCATTGATTCTAAGACATAATTTACTGGCTTCTCCCTCTTTCTCTCAGCCTCTCTTCTCTCTCCTTTAAATTCTTTTCTTGTGTTCATATTTCATTTTTATGGTATTGACGTACATTGTTTTGTGTCTGTGTGTTGTGAACAGAGCCACTAAGATTTATTGTTTCAGTGTCTCTAAAGAGATTCTAGTTTCAAGCTTCATTTAGGTGAACCTGCTCTGTTCCCACACAAACGAGTGTGATTCTGTTTGACGGAAGCAGCAACAAATTCCCAAATAAACAAGTAGTCCTGCTACTGCTACCAAGTTTGCATTCAGCACCACTCTTTAAATGTCTTTCTTGCTAAACATGCAAGACCCTGGGGGGGGGGGTCCTGTTTGCTATGGTTTTATATTCATAGAATCTTATCATTTTTTCTTTTAAAACTTTTCATTAGCCTTCCCTCCCATGACAGTGATTACTGGCCTGCTTCCAGCTCCTAGTCCCACCCCTCTAGATCCAGCCGACGGCTAAGGGGTCCTCTTGCCTCCAGGCCCTCTCCTTCAGCCACCCAGTCACAAAACTGCTTGTTCTCTTTCCCCAGATACAGTGTCCAGTACCTCGGCTCCCCCTTGAGAATCTTGCTGACTCCTTGTGTTTCATCTGACTCTTGATCCTAATATTCAAGATCCTTCAGGATTTGGACTCTTACCTACTCATATTTCTATTTTGACTCTATCACTTTAACACATCTGCCTATCTCCTATAAATGCTATATTGGTTCCTTCACCTGCCATCCCCTGACTGTGGAACAGACCTACCCCTTACACCACTGTCCTCCACCTACCAAATCCTACCCATCCTCAGGGGCCAACTCTAATGTCCCTATTCTGCCAAGAAGTACCCACTAACTTCCCTAAGCTAACATTCATCTCTCCCCTTCCCTGACAGCACCTATTAATCAGTTTTTCTTTCTCTCCTGACATAATTCAATGTTATACTTTATTGTCTAACACTTTGAATTGTCCTTTCACCATGCCCATACAAGCTCACCAGACTATAAATTCCTATAGAAAATTTTTTTTGCCATCTATTTCTTATAATCAAACTCCCTATACCATAGTATAATAAGAACTAATGTCAGGTACCACACACTTTGTAACCCTTCCTAAGTTCTCAACTCATTTAATTCCCACAGAAGCCCTATGAAATAGATCCTATCTCCCTCATTTTGCAAATGAGGAAACCAAAGCACAGAGAGGCTAAGTAACTTACCCAAGATCACACAGCTAGTAAGTAGCAAGGCTGAGATTCAAACTCAGGCATTCTGGCTCCAGAGTCTCTCTCTTAACCACTATACATGTATAGTGACATAGTAGGCCCTCAGTAATGCTTGTTCTGCCATTTGCAGGAAAAACTAAAGAAATACATTTCTGTTGTCACTTCATAATTTTTCAAGAATAATTCTTTGCAGATGATGGATATGGCAGATGTATCTTTATAAAATTTCCAGGAAGAGGTTGTGCCCATCATTTCCTACACCTATCAAGGTCAATATTTTTTTTATTCCCAGACATTGGTGGAAAGTCATAAAGAAGGTCAGGAGTGTATTTGAAGTCACCAAGACTTATTGCTAACTCTTGGCTTTGCCTGTCCTTCATCCTCATGTTCCAAAATACAGAATAGTTTCAAATTTTGTATTTGAAACTATTCATTATAAAGATGATGAAAACTGGTTCAGCATGATGCTTTTTATTTGTTACTTCTTTACAGCAAATATCACGTAGGGGAAAACACTGATTGCCCGAAGTAGAACTTGACTTCATGTTGTGATCTCCTGTTTTCTCCTTAGAACACCTCGCACAGAATATATCTAAATCACACCTGGAAACTTGCCAATACTTGAGAGAAGAGCTCCAGCAGATAACGTGGCAGACTTTTCTGCAGGAGGAGATTGAGAACTATCAAAACAAGGTACACTCTGAAGAATTTTATCAAGGGTGGAGGGAACAGTGGGAAGGTTGTTCATGCAGGTGATTTGATCAAGACGACCAGCAGACTAAAGAACGAATGCCTTTCATCAGCTATCAAGTTTCTGTTTAAAATTCTTCCTTCCAGAACTCATTATGTACTTGAGGCATCATTGTCTTACTGAGATGCCAGTGTGTGAAGTTTCAGCAATAGCCAGCAAATGCTGCTGTGCCTGTGACTGTACACACGTCTCCTATCATTTGTCAATAGGGGGCTAAACGAAGCAGTTTCCATAAGCCTCAATTAGTTGGGATTTGTCCCAATATCATAATGGCAGATTTCAAGGTCAGGAAGTCATGTAAAATAGTAATCTCAGCCTCATGTTTCCAGAGGTTTAGAAAAAGGAGTTTAGGGAGTGTGTACACAGAAAGGTTTGGAATCTATGACTGTAACTCTAGTCTGCGCCTAGCAGTGTGAGGCTGACCGGTGTTGCTACCTGACTTTTTTCTGTAAAACTCTGATCAACAAGCCACCAAAATGGGAGGGTGGGACTGGAAAAGGGGAACTTTTAATTATCCACTCTCCCTTTGGGTAAAGAAAATGCTGTTGTTCCCACCTGGTAATTGGAGAAATTCAGGCTTAGGAAGGACCGTAGAGTTTATCTAGGCCAAGGCTGCCCTTCACTTCACAGAGGAGGAAGCCACGTGGGCATGTGGCTGGGAGAGCAGACATCAGCACTAGACCGCAGCTCCTGCCCCTCACTCAGTGTCTCTTCCACCCCATCGTACTGGTGGAAACAGTCTTAATGTCTCAAGAGTAATTTAAAAATTTTCAAGAATAATGTTTCAAGAGTAATTCTTTCCAGGCAAGTGTATATGGCAGGTGCATCTTTATAAAAATGCCGAGAAGAGGCTGTGTCCCTCGTTTCCCACATCTATCTAGGTTAATGATTGTTCATTCCCAGACACTGGGGGAACAGGTGAGCAACACCGCAGACCCAGGTCACTCTGTCACTAAATTAGAGAGTGGGTATATAAAAATAATTTAAACAGGTTGGGGAGTAGCAACACACACTTTGTTTGCCTTCGAGATATGCCAGCAGCCGAAGACTCAAACTGCTGCAGGAAAGCAGAAGCAGCAGCAAAGTGTACGGAATGGGATTCAGAGTCAGGGATGCTAGGATCTGAATCCCAGCTCTGATGCCTATTCTCTGCGAAACCTCCGTGAGTGTTCGTGTCTATTTGTGTCCATTTATGGAAAACGGGAAAATGTTCTTGTGAAAGTGAAATGAGACAAGGATGTCATAAAGCACCTAGCTCATAACAGATACACAATAAATGTAACCGACTCCCCCTCTTTTCCCTTCCCCCAGTAAAATGGTGTTAAATTCCTCAAGGCAAAAAATATTGTAATTGCTAAAAAGAAGATCCTGCTTTCTATTCTCCATGGCCCAGGGTTAAAGCTGTGGCATGCGATTTTATCTTCTACAACAGCATGCTCATAACACCTTCTCCTGCCCCTCTGCCCCCAAAGAGGTCAGGAAGGAATTGGAGGAAATGAGAAAGGACTTGGAAGCTATCATGAATTATATCCCAAATAACTGGCCAACTGTTTATTTTGGAATCCTCTAGCCTTTTTTTTTTTTCAGTCATTTCCAAAGAAGGATTTTACAAAAGAGGCTCAGTTAAACCAATTGAGCCAAGAACATGGCTAGCTGTGTATGTTAATGTGTCTCCCTCTTTAACAGCAGCGGGAGGTGATGTGGCAATTGTGTGCCATCAAAATCACAGAAGCTATACAGTATGTGGTGGAGTTTGCCAAACGCATTGATGGATTTATGGAACTGTGTCAAAATGATCAAATTGTGCTTCTCAAAGCAGGTATGTGCTTTGCAAGTGAATGTTGAGATATCTTCCTAACCTGCTTTCACCCACCTATTAAAGAAATGCTTGGTAAGGAAGGTGTCGGGAACAGTTTTTCTCCGACGATGATAGTCCCGGTTTCTCTTAGCAGAGATTGCGTTCTTTCTAAAGGCATTTCAGCTATTTGCAGGAAACAGTCCCTCCATTTTGCTTCTCCCCTGGGTGAAAAGATTAATTTGAAGGACATGTGCACTCCCTAATTTTACCATCACCTGTGTTTTGTTTCTACCTTCCAGGTCCTCAGGGGGTTCCAATAAGCTGTTAGGAAGAAAATGTGAGTCCTCAGAGAGACAGCCCTGGCTTTTTTTGTTTGTTTTATTATATATGAATAAATATTTGACTAGCAACTCCAAGACTTTGCATTGTAAGGCAAAAGAGTGACAAAGAAGTCATTTGTAAAGCAGTCCTTTCTTCAGTAAAGCAGGCCTTAGCTTCATTCAGCACAGGTGTTGAATTACACCAGTGAACTTTGCCCTTTTAGGTAGAGAGCTAAGGGCACTGAGAGCCCACCAGCTAAACAACTCCCCATGCGCGGACTCAGAAATGGGTCTCTACGTTAGTGCCTTTGGAATAAGCTCACCAAGATGGAGTAATCCAAGCCATTCTGCCTTTGCTCAGGTTCCCTAGAGGTGGTGTTTATCAGGATGTGCCGTGCCTTCGACTCTCAGAATAACACCGTGTACTTTGATGGGAAATACGCTAGCCCCGATGTCTTCAAATCCTTAGGTAAGGAAATCTCTTGGTGTTTTGTCTTTAAGTCACAATTATATGAACAGATGGGAGCTGGATGAAAGCTCTTACTGAACAAAATGGAAACTGGGTATTTGGAAATAATTCAGTAATTTTATACCTATTTTTTTGCTTTATAGCTAGACACTACAGAAAAGTTTTATACCTCAGATGCCTTTTGTCTATATTACATGTAAAGGTCTAAAGTACATTTTATGTAGTTGGTAATCAAAGAAATTCATATTATATATCCTTCCAGATTTTAAGAACCAGGTAGGCAGGGGGTATGTTACTCAGATACACTACAGGGTGCGATCTAATACATAAACTCAAGCAAAGAGCCAAAGGTCTGCCCTTCCTAACTCCTCAGAGAACACGCATTAATGAGAATTGAATGTGGGTATCAGAGAAAGTATTGCTACCTTATAAGTGAAATTGACACATACTTTATAAATTATATCGGATATCTTTAATGTAAATAAAGTGGAGTACCGTCATTAAGAACAATGGGACAGTATCTAAAATATGTTATGTGACTTTAAAAATAGCAACATGACAAGGTATGTATACTCAAGTATAGTATAGCGCATTTCCATTTAAATTACAAGGTGGGGCAAAAATAGATTTATGAAACACAGAGTTTATTCTTGTATTATTTTTTATTGATTATTGTATTATGTTCCATGCAAACTGTAAAACCATTTTTGCCCCATATAATTTTGCCCTGTATATAAATAATGTGAAAATCTGAAAGAGTAGACACCAAACCTAACCAGTCTTTGGGGATGGATTATTATTTTACAGGACTTTCACGTTCTTTGTTTTCAGTTCTGTAATAGTTGCAATGATTTTGCCCCACTATAATATGTCATTGGTTAGTATTTCTTAAGGCTGTTTTAGATTAAATAGAGCCAAACACCAGAATGAGTGAGCTTAACATTTCAGTTAGATTGTGCTGCTGACTCTGCTGGCGAAGAAGAGTGTGAGCCCCGAAGATGGGCAGCCTGACTCTGACGCCCAGGATGTTGCTTCCTACCTGTGTGATGACCCTAGGTGCATGACCATTTTCTCCAAGTCTGCTTCTTCACCTCTAAAACGGGGCTATTAAAAATGCCTTCTTCACAGGGCTGCTGTGAAGTGTAGGAAACCCAAAGAAATCTCTTGGATCAGCTCCTAACATACTAACCACTCAGCAAAAGCTCACCCTCATTATTTTGAATGATGGTGATATAATGACAGGGATGCGGAGGGCAGGGATGGTGACCTTGGCTAAACAGATTTTCCTTTGAAGATTTCAAACAATTGAACTGTAGAAACGTTATCAATATCCTCTCTCATCTTCTACGACTAGATCCCTCTTCACTTCCATGTTTTTTCTACTAGGATAATAGCCAAAATCCTAAACAATCTTCATTTTAATTTTGGCAGGTTGCGAAGACTTTATTAGCTTTGTATTTGAATTTGGAAAGAGTTTATGTTCTATGCACCTGACTGAAGATGAAATTGCATTATTTTCTGCATTTGTACTGATGTCAGCAGGTAAGATAACCAAATAAAAATAAAGTGATTTAAAAATTGTCCAGGTAAAGAATTTTTACCAGCTCCATAACTTTTAGAATATTGGGAGGCTAGCAAGAGAGGCCGTCCCACTTATTCAATCTATTTTTAATTTCTTCAAGCAACAACCTCCCCACACACACATGAATGTGCCCTTTTAAAAAGACCTCATGCTGTTCTGCTTTAATCTTAAGAAATGAGAATTAAGTAAAACCCAGTCCTTAAGTCACCCCCAGATACCAAGAGAGATGCTACAGTAGAGTCAAGTTTCCCTTCTTAATACCAGTCTCCAAGATGACATGGTTTTTAAGAGATCCAACTTTTTCCTGAAATCTACTTGGATATCATCCACAAGTTTCTCTCAGTTTAATCCATGTTTTCAACTAGTCCTGCCTCTTGGAGATCATCAGTTTTGCTAATTTACAATCTTCTACTCAGAATTATTTTCTTTATTTTTATTTTTTATTTATTGATTTTGAGAGAGAGAGAAACATCACTTTGTTGTTCCACTTATTTATGCATTCATTAGTTGCTTCTTGTATGTGTCCTGACCAGGGATCAAACCCACACCTTTGGTGTATGGGGACGACACTCTAACCAACTGAGCTACCCAGCTAGGACCTACTTGAAATTCTTACACATAAAGACTTTACCCTAAATTATGAACTTTTAAGTCATGTGGAATTCAGTTGACAATTTTAGTTGCCTTGGATTAAAAGGTTATTTTCAAATCTTCCAGAAAGACTAGCAGGACTGATATAAATATTTCATTCAGAAATATTATTCTTAGAAAGGCTTAAGAGGCCACAGTGATTTCATTGCACTTATACATGTATGGCCTTAGATTGAAATGGCTATCTTTTTGGAAGGAGAGGACCCTCCCTTCCTTTAAGTATCAGTAAAAATAAAACAGTTTAATACCCTTTATTACTGTTTAGAGCAGTGTTCTACTCCTTCAGGAGCAAATTTCGAAAGAAGAGTGAGACTGGCCTGTTAGTTTCTAACTCTGCCTTGTGGTTTAGTACTCTGGGTGTAAGAGTCAGGGAGAGTTGGGGTTTCTGACATCATGTTGGAGGAACACTAAGAAATATCACCTTTCATGTGCAGATCGCTCATGGCTGCAGGAAAAGGTAAAAATTGAAAAGCTGCAACAGAAGATTCAGCTAGCTCTTCAGCACGTCCTACAGAAGAATCACCGAGAAGATGGAATACTAACAAAGGTGAGAGCTAAAGGTTTCCAGCTGGCAGTGGCCCGAATTACCCCTGGCCACACATCATGCTGCCAGTGCCCTAGTATGTCATCTGACCAGCCCCCAGCAGTATCAGTAAGCAACAGGCTGCTGGAAGGAAAGAAACAGGTCTATTTCAAAAGTTTGATGGGGCTAAAATTCAGGTTAAATTCTATTCATTATCATTGGTTATAAAGTGCCCTACAATAAGGAAGTAGTAGAATTTTTTAAAGCATTAACACATTCTGGAAATCCTCTTTCTATTCCATCAAAGTTGAACACAAAGCAGAGCTAATGGTCTTCATTGATAGAAATTAGACAGTCTTTGAATTTTGAAAGAGAAAGTTATGAAGTACTAAACCAATTAACCAGGATAACCATACATTCTAATATTAGTTCTGTTTCCATTAAATTCATCAGTCAACAGTAAATGACTTTTGTATTTTCTTCATCAATTTCCCATTACTCCCCTGTATTCAAAGCATAAACTTTCATTTTTGCTAGTTACCATCTTTTCCAATAATAGCATAATTAGGATGTCAATTTAAAACATGCTAATGTTCTTCAGTGCTAGAGCCAGGACTATGTATTTGGCCTTAGAAAAAGCACCCCTTTCTTAGATTATTCATTGTGTCCTATTGTTCAAGGTGGCAATTTGAAAGGTTTTGGGGTTTTTTTTCCTTGTTTATTTTCTCATATTTACTACTGATAGCTAGGTTAAGTCAGGAAGGGGAAATTGGGGTTTAGTTGCTGCCTTGTTTATGATTTTGCACACATTGAATGAAAGATTGGGGGAGGAATGGGAACTGGAAAGAAGATGAGAGCTCAGGAGCTTCCCTCTTTTCTCGGTCTTCTCACTGTAAGACAAGGGTACCATTAGGTTCTTTGATTATAACTGTACCTAACTATACACATGGACAAAATCTATGATCTGGTTAAAACATTTCTTAGGAATTTTTCTGGGTTGAAATACTAATTATTGTGTGCTTGCATAGTGCTTTAGAGTTGAAAAAGCATTTTTGGAAATCATAGTAGTAGTTTCAACTGGTAAATGGCCGATGCTGAGACTTCCATCCAGGCCTTCTGACTTTCATATTTGCACTGAGACTTAGGCGCAGAATTGCTTTGTTTTAGGCATACTCTTTCTCAAGAAGAAACGTCATTAGGGTTGAATATGTATCTGGTATTCTGTGGTATATCACCATTTATTTTCATCAGCCCTCTCTTACTAGACATATAAGTTGCTTTAGGTGTGTTTCACCATCATAAACCATATTGTAAAGACCAGCCAGACACCCTGAATTTTGGTTCTCACTTCTGTTCTCTCCTAACACCATGTCCTTTCTTCCACTTACAGTTAATATGCAAGGTGTCTACATTAAGAGCCTTATGCGGACGACATACAGAAAAGCTAATGGCATTTAAAGCAATATATCCAGACATTGTGCGACTTCATTTTCCTCCATTATACAAGGAGCTGTTCACTTCAGAATTTGAGCCAGCAATGCAAATTGATGGGTAAACGTATCACCTAAGCACTTCTAGAATGTCTGAAGTACAAACCTGAAAAGCAAACAAAAAATATTAACCAAGACACTTTATATGGCCCTGCACAGACCTGGAGCGCCAACACACTGCACACCTTTTGGTGATCGGGGTCAGGCAAAGGAGGGGAAACAATGAAAACAAATAAAAGTTGAACTTGTTTTTCTCATGCATATGATTTCCATTATGCCTACAGATATGGACCCTTTTCTGTCTCGACTTCTTGATCGTTGACCTCTGTTTACAACAGAAGGAGGGTACTAAAGTTGGAGGATTTCCTTTTCTTGTAGCTCACTGCCCACAGACTTTCTACAGAGTCACCAGTCTGTTAGTACTAAGAGAGTCCAGCAATAATCGGTGACTGGTGTGCATAGCGGAGGTTGCAGCATTACTTTGCACAACTTTGCTCTTTGTTTCATGAAGGAAGTTTTTATTTTTTTCACCGATTATTGCCAGTCAGCAGGACGGCACGAAAAGGGTCCATAGCACTAGCAACAATAGCATTATAATATATTACAGGGTAAATGGGCATGAAGACTATATATAGCTAAAAGAGATATTGTTTATATATTGTTTTAATTAATATAAAATGTAGTTACTGGTGTAGCTTTTCCTGTTGAATTGATAAGGCACTTTCATTTTGCACCTTTTTCTTTAAATTAAATGCTAGCGTGTTCACTGTCGTGTCGCATGTGCACCAGAAACACAAGTTTAACTGAAAAGGCTTGGAAGGTACGTCGGGAGGTATTTATGCTGCTGTTTACAAAATTACTTTTAAGAGACTGGCTGGTCATATCTAGAAATCACAATGTTGGATTATTTTTTTTTACATGTGAATTTGGAATTAGAAATGAAACTCTCCCTAAATTACACTTTGCATTTGGGTAAGTTTAAGGATAGATGTGTTTATGCTTCATACAAAGTTGAATGATGGATTGGTGCTGTGGACTTATACTATCATGCACATTATTTTTAAAAAGCTTTTTGAAATGCCACCTCAAGGAGGCAGGGGAGGGGAGGCTCGTTTTATACAATTCAGTAGTTATCTAGGCTCAGTCTCAAGTTGGAATTCACATGCTTTGAGAACAAATCAGAAAGCAGAATATTGTATTAGAATCTAGCTTTTATAATAAGAAGGATCCAAAGATTCTATGTGGAGCAAACGTACACTCCCCATGTGAGGACATGAGGCATTCACGTTGTGAATGTTTATGTTCTTGGTATAATCTAGGAACCCGAAGAGTTTATCTCAGAGTGAACTATTTCTAGATTAGCTGCCTCTAGATGCTATCGTTCTAGAATGTTGCTCTCCATATTTCATAGACAATGAATGCAATGAATGGGAGGGTCGGGGAGGAATACCATGTCGAACCAGTTTCTGTTATTTAAATATTAAGTATTTTAAGCCTTTTAAGTGATTAGTCAGTGCTTGCTGCAAACATTTACTTTTGTATTTATTGTCACTAGAAAACTGTGGACTGTAATTTATTTTATTAAATATTTAGAAGATTATTTGGCTTTGGTGTTCAGGTGAGAAATAGTGAGGGTTTATTTTAAATTTTGTGGGTTTTTAAACGTAATTCCCAATGGAGGAAGGGAGAAAGAGCTGTCTGATGTATAAGTGTGCATATTTTAAAAACAAGTGACCTTTGGGAATGGAGGCATTTAGAGGGTGATTTCAGTCCCCCTCAGGGCAGGAGTCAAACTTCTGGTCTGACATCAATGACCACATTTGTTCAGAAAAGGGAACATCCTCCCACAGCAAAAAGGTGGGAGTGTCCAAGCGGCCCTTTATAGTGGAGACAGTGTCTCCTTCACCACCAGGGTCCCTCCTGAGTCTTCTGTGGGGACTGTGGCTCCTGATGTGCCGGGTCACAGCTCAGGCTTCACAGACCCCTTCACTGTTTTAAACTCCGCTGACTTGGAAAGGGAGAAGCAATCATTCACACAGAAGTGTGTATGAAGCCTAAATAACATCTAAAATTTTTTTCAAAAATATAGTAAGGGTTTAACCATAAATAGAAGACAAGAGTATTATTTACTTAAATTTCTTACAAGCATATAAAACTTTATAAGTGTTTATATAGAGAGGTTAACTATAAGCATATAGTATTTATATTTGGGCAGGAAGGGTTAAATCAAATTTTTAATTTAAATAAGCATAGTTCCTTTAAAAATCAATAGTATTTATACTCTGAAAAAAGTACCAAGTGTAGTTATTTATTTGTCCATGTTTTTCCTATTGTTTCTCCTTTGGGGGGAATGGTGTATTTTTACTTTGGTTTGGTTTTGTTTTCTGTTTTTTATCGTTCTGATTCACTAAATTTTAATAAAGTATATTAACTTCTTTTTAACCAAAGCTTTCTGAATATGACCAGCCTCAGGTGCTAGTGCATTAAAGAGCAACTAAACCTAATTCCAGTGTCCATTTATGAAATGATACGAGTTAATTGAACTTCTCTAAGGGTGAGAGAGCACTTAATGTTGAGCTTAAAAGAAATTCCTTTTCCCAGAAGGGATTTTGCATGTACCTAATGCAAAAAAGAGAGAGAGAGAAAGAGAGAGAGATGATATAATCACAGTAATAGCCACTCCATGGTGACACTGCTTTCCAAGTAAACCAGGATACATTGGCATGATGCTGCTACTAGGTCTTCCTGAAAGAAAAGCAGCGTGGGGACTTTAAGAGCAAAGCACCTGGAGGGTGTAGGAACAGAGTAGTAGAGGCATGCTCCATGAGATGAGAGAACAACTCACTGTTATTTGGATCAAAGTTGGGATATGAAGTTAAACAGTAAATTCAGCTGGAAAAAAAAATGAGGTATAGAAAATGGTGTGAAAAACTTTGCATCTTTATTTTCTTCCTTATAGAAAACATCTGTGGGATGATACAAAATATTTGATGATATGGAACAATTATTCTGAATAGTTCTTATAAAGTTCCCTAAACTTGAATGCCCGATAGTCTTTTAAATACTGGAATCGCATTGTCATCCTGGCTGCTGTAAGGCCTTAGGTACAATGTTTGACAGCGAGGAAACGAGGCTTTTGCACAAAGCCTGAACTTCGGTTCTAGTGGTGTCCAAATGGTTGTAGTTTGTCGTGAAGGAACTGGCCTTAGTCACAATGCAATCAAAAGTGCAGATGAAAGTGCTTTTTTGGACAGTTGCAAATTGTGTTAAAGCTGTGGATTTTTTTAAAGCATTCTGCATCCTAGTTTACGTTAAAGCTATGGATTTTTTTTGAAAGTCTTCAGCATCCTAATTCACCCTTCCTAACTTAAAGAAAACATGACTTAAGACACTGCTTCTAAGTTTGGTTGTTCTTTATAGTGTGGATACCCAGATGTCTGTGAGCGTATAGGGGTGGGCTGAGGGTCAAGTGAGGAGGGAATGTGTGTGTGTGTGTGTGTGTGGGTTTTGTGTATGATGTATGTGTGTCGGACCGCTTCTAGGCTACTAAGTGTCAATGTAAAAGAAAATGTATTCAAAATACTTAAATCAAAACTAGAAGATGGGGAAAAAAGATTTATTCTATACAAAGCCTTGTCTGGACCACTTTAGAGAGACTTCTATTTTTTTAACCCTTCTATAAATATTTGATGGCACTTGAAATATTCCTGCAATAACATGTGATTTGTGTAAAGAAAAAAAAAGATTTTGTAATGTGAAACAAAGAAAGAAAGTAATGTAATTTTCTAAAAAAAAATACAAACAAACAAACTTTGTATTATTTTCTTGATGGAATTTGTCTATCTGTCTTTGGAAAACTTTTTATTTCATTGAATGTGCCATAGTAGAAATATGTGTTTTTAGTTTTAGACTAAGGAATAGCTGTTTGTGTTCCGACATTCCAGAATGCAAAACAACCTAGTAGAATCTTTAATGAAAAGGTTTAAGTAGGATGTAAGCTTCTCTCATTGTTGCTTTTTTGCACATGTTCTTCATTCCTCTCTAGTGCAATATGTACATAGAGCACTTGCGGGTGTACCTGGATCCCTCAGGGAAAAAATACATATTTGTACAGTTGTTGTTGATGTTGTTTTTTCCTTTTGTTTTTGGCTAAGGAATGTCGACTGAATCACTTGTTATTGTTGAGGGGCAGCCAGATAATAATCCTAAAGCCACTGTTTCTCAAACATTGATTGTTTAAATCATGTGTCCTTCCAGTGCTATTATTTTAAAGATACTAATAATAAAAAGTTATTTTCTGACAGTTCTTTGTGCTGATTGGTGAAAAAAAAAAGGGTAAATAAGCACCTTATGATTGACTTACTGTGAATGACAATCCATCTTGGTATCAACGATAGAAGCCCTATCATTTTGGAGTTGGGGTTAAGAGTCAGAAACAATGTGCTCAGGGATCTTCTAAAACTCTTCAAACAGGGTGGCCAGTACTACTGGGACAAATTGTGTTTTTTATTATTAATCATGATGATAATACTATCCCTCCAAGGCACAAGTGAACTGTATAGAACTAACTGCATGTGTGTATAAACTTCACTATCATCTCATTTTTTTGAGTTTGGAACTTAGGTGTTCTTCAGTGTGTTGTGTGCTTAAAAACATTGAATGGCTTCTAGAGCTACACCAGTAGAAAGTTACGCCAGTATGTTCAAAAGATAAACGTTGGTCACATACCAACAGAGAGCATCGTTCAAAGTACAGCCCTACATATACCATTCATCATTTCTCAAATAATTAAAATATTCATGATATATTTATAGCATAATATGTTAAAAACTACTTCCAATTCTACATAATATGGATAAAAAAATTTAAACCAAAGGAGATGAGGGACCTGCCTGTTGATGGAGTGAGACAGGTAAAAGATACAACGTGTATTTTTGTTAAAGATTTTATTTATTCATTTTTAGAGAGAAGGGAAGGAAGGAGAAAGAGAGGGAGAGAAATATCAATGTGTGGTTGCCTCTCACGCACCCACTACTGGACCCACAACTCAGGCATGTGCCCTCCTAGGAATCGAACTGGCGACCCTTTGGTTTGCAGCCCATGCTGAATCCACTGAACCACACCAGACAGAGCCTACAACATGTATTTTTTAATGGCAGCAAACAACTATTGTTTTCACTGTATTCTCCTTGGGAAGCAAGCCAAAAAATTCCTTTATGTAACACAATTCTCCTATTTTCATGTTTGTAGTTTTTAATCTATTACCCACCTGGTAACAATAACATGAGCCAGCTTTTTGGGTCATGTTTTCCATTTTTGAAATACAGATTTGTTAACCATGTTCCAATACTTTTCATAAAGTCAGTTAACCTCAGTGTAATTGTTGGCTTTGATTCTTCCATTTCACACTTGAAATACACATTCAGAGAAAGCTTCTCGTACTTTCTTAGGACCATACAAGAGTATAATCTGGGGAAACTTTTTATGTCATTTAGATGAAAAAAAAAGCCTTTACCCTACTGTTTTTAATAATAACGACTATGGAAATAGGCAGAAATATCTCTTATATGTATATATATACATACACACATATCCATAGATAAATACTCATTACTGACAGTTTTACATATTATAACATTTGATTGCCACTTCTTATTTATAAAGGGATGACACAGCAGAACCCATAAAAACAGCTTTCTACTCTAAATCAGATCATGTGCCCAGAAAGGCAATTGCAACAGTAAATCTTGATCCATTGCTAATAGTCTATAACACAAGTCTTCATTCTGTCCGTAAACACTAGTATTATAAAGAGGTTCCACCAGATTTCATTAAAGGGACCTTCCTATAATTGTCTGTTCTTAAGAGGTAAGGTGAACAAGCAATGCCTTTACCAAGCAATTGGTTTCCCTTCTGGGTCTGTTTGCTTGTTTGTTAGTGTAGGTGAGATCAGTATTGTTAAGACACTCAGAAAATTTCAAAAATAATCTGAAAGCCTGGTTTTATACCAAGGATACTTTGTAGATGGGGAGGTAGAGGAGGAGATCTTCATGTTTAAACAGACCCTCAGAACTTAGAGCAATAACCTCATTCATTCATTCATTCATTCATTCATTTATAAATGAATGACAAAATAGTCAATCCAAATAAAAACATTTTTCCAGCAGTGAAACATGAAATGGAGTCTTGTGTTAAGAGAGTAAATATGAATATTTTAAATGGATGCCTAGAGAACCTGTGTTTGCTGTTTACATTTAGTATGTTTACCACGTTAGCAGTATCACACTTCCTCTATTTTTCTTCTAAGAACTAATGAAAGATAGCTTGGCCTCAGCTTAGACAAGCTGCACATACAATTATGCCATCCTCTAAGAGCAACTAAATTCTTCCCAGTGTTCCTGTGTGATTCCTTTCTCATTCATTATTACTTCAGTGTGGAGGAATACTGTTTGTAGAAACGGTCATCATTGAACAGATTGCATATGTAAATACAGATAATTCTTGAGCATATAGTGAATATGATTTCACACACACACAATCTGTATGTACTGTACACACCTTCCTGAATCTAAAATTCTCTTACCACAATGGTTTAAAATCTCACATAAAACAGTGGTAAATTTTAAACATTAGGACATTAGCTGGCTGCTTCTTTAAATGTACCTGTATTGTCTGCCTGCTCCTTTTGTGGAGATATGTTTTTGTATTGGATGTTTGGGCCAATGGGAGGCTTCAAGCTACAACATATTTTCCCAGTTTAAATATATTTAACATATGACAAACCCCAGACAAGGCTTTTAATATGTATAAAGAACTGCAGTGTTAGGTGGTTTATTTGCAAACCGTTTTCAATGTTGTCCATTTTTATGGCACCTTTAACAATATTCTTGTTTCCAAAGTACAAAAAAAAATAGGTTAAATATCTAGCCATAACTGAATGTCAAGCAATAAAACAAATGACTTTTGTGTATAGACGTAAAAAATACAAATTTTAGACATCTGCATGTAAATGCAATCTCTTGTTTACTGCTTTCTTCAACTCGAGCAATTGATTCCTTATTTACTATTAACTTAAGAACTTGTAATGGCCTGTAAACATTTTCTCTCTTACTCTTCTTTCAAATTTACCTTCATCCCTGCTTTTGAGTCATAATATTTAATGTCGTTCTGCACATCTCTATACAGTTAACTTTTTGGCTCTCAATCTGTATAGATAAGAAGATGTTATATTATAAACAGCCTACTCAGTGCAAATATTTATCTGTTTATCAAATCCACAATATGCTGTATAATACTGGTTTTACTATATAATCTATTTTAGACATAGCTGTTTAGAACTAGAGTGTGCTATTTTTGTGTTTTTCTGATGTGTGGTGCTAGATAAGTTACTTTTGTGAACAAAAAGAAAAAAACCCTTTTATTCCTAGACAATACCACCTTGGGTCTTGTTAATTTCACTGAGTATAACTATATATTTGTATATATATACATATATATATATCTCTACCTGTGCCCAACTGGCAGCTGTATCAGAGTGCTGGATTTGGGACATGCTTTTCTCTTTAAATACATAATATCATTATATAAATTATTCTAGAGTGTATTTAATTAGGATAAAATTACTTCCTTAGTATGGATATTTGACATCTATAGGGTGAATTTGTTTATAAATATGGATACATGAAAACTTATTAGCAATTACTTTATGTTTGCTACTTGGCTTTATACCATATCTCCTGAGCTGAAAAATAATTTGCCAGGCCTTCAAGATCCTAAAGAAACACTCTAGTTTAATGGAGTAATGCCTTTTTTTTCACTTACTAAGGAATTATATTATTGACATCTGACAGGGTTGTGTACTTAGCTCCTATTGTAGATAATAGGCATTTATATAAAATACCTTTGGTGGCTTGATGGCCACCTTCTCCCTCCTACCTGAGCCGTGAGAAGTCCGAAGACATCCACTGTCGTGGCAGAACACGGGCCATAAAGCAGATTCGAAGAAAGGATGTTCTGCGCTAATATGACCTCAGCCAGTTCCATGAACTGAGTGAAGGACCTTCATTTTAAAAGTCATTTATAACGAGCTTAGTTAAACTCCTTCACCTATTCTCCCAAGACCTATTGGCACTGTTAAAAATCCAAGTATATCAAATATCTAACTAAGGATGTAGTTAACCTTATTAAATATTGATTAGAATTGTTCTGTAATATTACTGAATTTGTAAGATCTTTAGCAGAGATTTTTGAGCAATTTATAAATATAGAGCAAATGTTTCTGTTTACTGCACTTTTTGTAATCGAAGGTGATAAATTCTCAAGCCATGGTTATTGGCTTCCATGCACTGCGTATTTACCCACAATTTAGACATTTTCCATTTTTATGGAAGAGTTGCTATTACCTTAATTATAAATGTAATCATGTGGTTAATGAAAGCTAATGCTAATAGTTAACCTTTTAAAGTGAATTGGCTACAGTTTAGGGAGAAATCTCTTTTAACACAAATCATGTCATTCCTTATTGCTTTGCTTAGAAAGAGAGGGAAACTTTTTTTTAAGCACCATTCGGTATCCTAAGCTTCCTGAAGATAGAGATTGTATTTCTTTGTGTCTGCACAGTGGCCAGCACATCAGCATTTGATCATTGTTAAATGACAACATGTGCCCCAATTCAAACTCTTTTTCTGGTTTGTTACAGTAAATTTATAAAGTGTGTCAAGCCTTATGGTTAACACTGTCTCCTACAACCAAGTATTAAATACACATTTAAAAAGACTACGTGAAATGCTGATTCTAATTGTGTGTAGGTCTTGAGGATTAAGCACACAAATTTCACAAAACTCTGTGAGTAACAAACTCAGCCTTTTGTAAATATACATGCAAGTTTGGAAACAGTAATACTGTACCTATAAATATATCTGTCTGTTCTGTGTACAGTATGTAAAAACTCCTTTTCTGCCACACTAAAAATGCAAGCCATTTATGGGTATCCTAAAAATAGTATTGTACTAAAACTTTGCTAATGATCTTTATTGGAGGATCATCCAACTTTTCACATCATTGGGTTTTCTTTTCAATTCACTCTTACAGTAGTCTGCTTATTTCCAGCTGTTTGTTATTTTATTGTGTCCTGAATTTAAAAAAAATATTTTGATTCATTTTGTAAATACAAGCTGTAAAAAAAGAGAGATTTAATGTTGTCTTTTAAATACTCCGATTTTCATTCTAATATGAATGTTGTTATATTGTACTTAGAAACTGTACCTTTAATATTACATTACCTTTATTAAAAGTGCATTGAAC